TGATGAGTGCCATTGCAAGGCTCGTTTATTAGCGAGCGTCGTGATATACAACCACTTCCTGTTTTAAAATCAACGACGATTATTATAGCAGCAATGCACATTTTTATTTCACTTTTACCGTGGAAGCCACTACTGAGTCTCAGTACTCTTTGTCGGGAGGGTCCTGCATTGGCAAGTTCGAGTAAATGACTTCAAAAGAAACGCCAGGGGCACCCTCTGAATCCATCCTTCCATACTCACGAAAAGCCGCCTGGTGTTTTATGACCTTGCCTGGAACTTTCCAGCAACCCCAACGACTTTGGTTTTTAATCGGTCGCAGCTTCGCCGATGGGAGTCATAAAAGTAAAAAAAAAACGGCCCAGAATGTAGAGAGGTTTAAACGAATGCTCTCAGAGCACATTGCTTCATGCACATTATAGGCCGGTTGAGCCAAAGGTTGTTAACCATTTTGGCAATGCGACGTAACTTTCCCTGTGTTTCGTGATGTAACTTTTTGTAATGTCAGAACTTCCTGGCAACATCTTTGAGTCTCGGTGAGGGTTGCCCAAATGGCGTAATGAATCGGTATTATCGGCGGCTGGTCTGCATGTATCTTTGTTATTATTGTGTAAGTTTGTCTGGAATTCCTCTTTAAAATGCTTCGAATTTTTCCCACTAATCAGGAACTATTTTAAACCAATGCGATACGTGGTACAGTTTATGGCGGCCCCGTAAATCTGCCCTGGCGCTGCTTGTCCACTCTCGCAATTTCAAAATCGACGGATACATGTACCATTGTTAGAACGCTACCACAGTTATCCCAGCGGTCTCAGTCGGTCAACCCGTGGCAACTTTGGGTATGTCCCGTGACCTCCAGCCAGCGGGCATTCGACACGTCACGTGGCCTCAAAGTGCACCTCGCCTGGCGGCTCAAGTGCCGCCGTGGTGACGTCCCCGCCACTAAGTGTTGCACGAGAGTCACGTGTAAGGGAGGGAGCGGTCGTGTCGTGCTTCGCGCACTGCGCTACGACCACAGCGCACACCGGTTCTATTCCCGCTCATGGCCAACACCAGCAACGAATCTCTAAACCGGTTCTGGGACTCCCTCTAGGTCGACTCGGCCTCAAATGAGTACCTGTTTTGGTGTGTAAACATAAGCGCTAAGCCGGTCTTGATGCACTTGCTCTGATAATCTTGGCGAAGTCGAGAACGGGGGGGAAGGATCTTTGAATCTGAGCAGGCTGTCCCACGATTGTGTCATGGTGGCTGTGGCCACATCGGTCCAGAGTGCGGATCTCATCTGTGCCTGTGCAGCAGGGTTCGAGCCATGCTGCTATTATTAGTGTGGAGGCAGCAGCAGCAACAACAAAACGCCTGTCAACACAAAGGCGATTTAAATGCCTTTGAGGTTGTGGGTGGTGGGGGTGGTGGCTGCTGGGTTGTGGACAGGTGAAAGTGTTTATGTGTGTGTGTGACTGCATGTATATGTGTGTATGTGAAAGTATTAAGTGTGTGTGTGGGGGCGGAGCGGGAGCGCAGTTGATAGCGCACCGCGCTATGAATTGCAGTTAAGGGGATGAATGAATCTGCTCGGCTTGTTTGTACACCAACACTTTGCGGATGTTAGGAGGCAGTTCACGAAATGTGGAAGAACATGGGCGCACACACACACGTTTTCGTGGAGCATATCGGTCCCGCGGATAAACCCCATATCGATGACATGGGGTTAACAAAACTGCTTCACTTCTTGAAAACGCTCTCGAATGTAAGACGGGTTATCGTGACTGCTGTGAATCCCGACAATATCCTAGCGGGGCTCGACAGCTGGAACTTGTCACGCAATTAGCACGAGTCTACGCTTGCGACTTGGGGAAAACATCCGAAAACTATAAGTTTCAAAATACGGTCGGTTCCAGTCAGAGGGCAAAAAAAACGATAGAGGGGGCTTGGGAATCTTGAGGTTGGAGTGGCGAGGCGTTGAGACCACAGCCACATTCGTGGGCGATGGTCTGACCACGTGTCTCTTCCCCGCGCATCCATCACGCACTGCGATGCCTCGGAAACTCTGACACTTTGGAGTTTTTTTCCCCCCTCTGCCATAGAAACGTAGGCTACATGTGCCGGGGGTGGTGTGTGTTGTGTGTTTGGGATGTCTGTTTGTTTTGTGTGCGCATGCCTGCGTGTGTACGTGCGTGTGTGTGCGTGCACGCGTGGGTGTATGTGTGTGGGTACGGTGTGGACTCATCCTCAAATGAGTACCTGGTGCGATGTGGAAATATCGCCACTAGGGAGACAAAGGTGGCCAGGCATAAATTCTGGCCAGCCCACCCCCTCGTGTGCCGTGCCGGCCTTCATAGGTGCTTGCGAATAGCGCCTATGAAGACTATACGGGGGATCTTTATCTTTGTGGGTACGGTGTGGAGTCAACGTCGGCACTGGGCTGGCAAATGTGGCCGGGCGTGGTGCTGGCCACCCAGAACGGCTGCTCAAGTCAGTGCTGTCGTGTTTAATTTGCCCTGCACAGAGTGGTTCATTGCCCCTCGATCATATATATTTGGGGGGGTTCGGGGGGGTTGGGGGGTTGCACGTATGTTGAACTTCATTCGCGCACCGTACGGAGCCAACCGTGCCACTCGGAGGAGGTGCGGAGGAAGGACGACACACTGTTCTTCACATATATCGATTTTTTTTTACCGAATTTTAGTGCAAAATTCAGCTTCTACGTGAATTTGGTTTCCGTGTCTTTTTTGTTGTTTTGGGTTTCCCCCCCTATTGAGGATAAAATCACGAGCCACATCGAAAGCCGCCACCTGCATTCACCCCCCTCCAGGTCGCTGAGCTTTCGTGGCCGGCTCAGCGTCCTGAGCAGCCCTCGAAGCCGCCTGCTGGCCACCTCCCTACCACGACACGCGCGGTGCGTGTGTCGTGGGTGTCTCGCTCACGGAATCAGAATCTCTTAAAACGCGAAGACGCTTAAACCAGTGATTCTCAACCCTTTTTTCTGGGTTTGGCTACGTTGAATTTAGTTTCAAACCCGAGCCATCCCGTTTACCTGACCCTAACATGGTTCTGAGAAATAAATGAACGTCAATATTGTAAGCAAATTAAGCGCAATGATACGTGGCAGTCTCAGGCACATTGATAAATCACCTCTCGTTACTCCCCTGGGGTATCGCCACGTACCCCCAGGGGTCCCCGTGTATCCCCAGTTTGAGAACCACCGACTTTGTCCCATTTTATCATCATCAGCAGCAGCTAGCAGCAGCCGCCTTCCTTCTGCAGTCCGGGTTTGATGATCCCACGATAGAGTAAGGAATTACACTCAAGGCTGGCCAATGTAAATAAAGAAATAAACCGTTTTGGTGAAATGTTTGGGCTAATGGGACCTTATCGGAGGACTTTGCTTAGGCACTTTGGTGTGAATGTTTTGGCGTGGCTTCAACTCTGTCTCTGTTACTGAGCAGTGTGGTGTAAATACCAAAGTCGCTTATCAAGCTGCTCCGAGCCTGCACACGATTACACCACAATATGACGGCCTTTCTCATCTCCTGCTTCCTTTGTTTTTCTCCCAGGCCACAAGTCACCAACAACACAAATAATAATCAACAACACAAACAATAATCAACAACACAAATCATCAACAACACAAATCATCAACAACACAAATCATCAACAACACAACACAAAACATCAACAACACAAAACATCAACAACACAAATCATCAACAACACAACACATAACATCAACAACACAAATCATCAACAACACAAATCATCAACAACACAAATCATCAACAACACACTCCGTGCACGGAGAGCTGTCACAGCGGCCTAACGGTTGTCAGCGCGCCGGAGTTGCGATCCAGAGATGGTCGTCGGTCCGATTCGATCTCCCGGCGTGGCGGTTCAAACGATAGGGAAAGTTTATTTAAATCTCCCTCGCTGCCCTGTCCACCCAGCAGTGTGCAATTGCGGTACTCCGCGAATTGTCGATCGGTAGGTCAGGTGTGGTGTGGTCAAGTGTGGGTGCTCCCACTTCTGCTGGCACGGTTGGCTACGTACGGTGCGAAAGAACTTCAACTTACGTACATGGCCAATGTGAAAGAGTAGGCCAGCTTCCTCTAGTTGGTCGTCTGTAAAAAGAGCTTTATAGCTCATCGGATTCCTCCAGCGTTAATAAATAGATTGTCATTCTGGAAGCCCTTCTTCTGCTGCCCATAAAAATATAGAAGTGGCTTGAGAGGAGCAAATTGCAGGGCTGCTCCTTTGTCTAGAAACCAGCTCACCTCGGCCTCCAGAGCACCGCTCGTTTCTGACCCGGCCTCTCGTCCGCTTGGGAACCTTTTCTCAACCTCACACGTGGTGCCTGGCGTGTCGGACGCACTATGGAATGTTATTTTTTTGGGGGGGAAAACTCCGTTGGGTTTAGTTCCGCGCACTTTGCTCCGTGCACATGTCTTCGTGTCGCCATCTACCACAGCGTGTTTATATCAACAATAATACCATAACATACGCACAATAACATAACATATGCCCCCTTCCCTTAAGCATCGGTGTGCAAACCCACGGGATGTGTGGCCATCGGCGTCTCGTCACTCTCGACCGCGTTGCTGTTGTTGAATGTTTAGTCAGCGTGGTATAAACGTTTAGTTACGGAGTAAAAGTGCGATTTACTGTTCCAGTTGTGGTGAATCTTGTCACTGCTGCCATGGTCATCCCTATCATTGTCACCGTTACCATCGCCTAGGTTGGCATTGTCATCCCTATCATTGTCACCGTTACCATCGCCTAGGTTGGCATTGTCATCCCTATCATTGTCACCGTTACCATCGCCTAGGTTGGCATTGTCATCCCTATCATTGTCACCGTTACCATCGCCTAGGTTGACATTGTCATCCCTATCATTGTCACCGTTCGGATCGTCTCAATCACCATGATTCGAGTAGTCAATGTGAGCATTACCTCAATTGCCCCCCCCCCGCTCCCTCTCCCCCCATCACCCCCCCCCCCCCCCCCCGCAGGCCACCTGCTCGGCCTCCCGCACGACGACAGCAAGCAGTGCGGCGGCAACGGCGGCGCCCCGCTGGGCTCCGTGGCGACGGCGGCGCACATCATGGGCGAGACGCTCACGCGGGTCGAGCCCTCGCGGCCCTGGTCCACGTGCAGCGCACGCCACCTCACCGACTTCCTGGACAACGGGCACGGTGAGCGCCGCGCCACGGACCCGGCCACGGGGGTTCGATTCCCGCTCGCGGCCCCGACACCCAGTGACGAGTGTCTAAATCGGTTCAGGGCTTCCGCTAGGTCGACTCGGCCTCGAATGAGTACCTGGTGCGGTGTGAAAACGTTGGCACTCGGGAGACAAAGGCAGCCGGGCGTGGTGCTGGCCACCCCCCCAACCCCTCGTGTGACGTACACTCACCGTCATAGGTGCTACTCGCTAAAAGGACTTGCCCCAACAGACTGTTAAGGCTATACGGGGGATCTTTGTTTTTTTTATGCGGAAGCCTCTCACTCGCGACGACTCACTCCATGCCCCTCACCCCGGGAGCAGAGAGGCCCCGCCGACCCGCCTCGATCTGGCACGGCCGGGTGTGACGCAGGCCAGGTGTGATGGACTAGGTGTGACACACACAGGTGTGATGGACTAGGTGTGACACAGGCCAGGTGTGATGAGCCAGGTGTGACGCAGGCAGGTGTGATGAGGCTGGTTGGCTGATTTCTTCCAATCGCCGCTTGCTCTCGCTCTAAGCCTCGACTTGACACACGGCTGCTGTCGTGAAGGCGGCCGCAATGGTAGCGGGGGTTTTCTCCGGCGTTCGTCTGGCAGCACAGCAAGTGGGATCGTGTACACCGTATTGTGGCGCTCTGCAGTGTTTTATCTTCTCTGGGGAGTCTCTTATTTTCCTCCCACACGAAGCCAAACCCTCGTGAAGGGGAACCGACCAAGTATCCCCAACGTATCAGGGACCCCGCTTGGAAAATGATTCTCGAGACTTGGCATTGTTTCCCTGGATAAACGAATTGAATTATTGTGACATGAAGATAACTGTGGGGGGGAGGTGTGTGGGTGGGATCCCCCAAGACGACCACGCTGCTCCCAAACGCAACCACCGTCCGTCATCAAGAGGACAGATTTTCCCTCATATGTATGGATGCCAGGAATTAATTCCGTAAATATATTTGTCTTACTCCAGATCGTCTGAACATTTAGTTCCTCATGGTTTACCTCTCGCCTTGAGTGTCGCGTGGGCTGCATCTGTCTCGTCCAGAGGGGGAGAAAAAAATCCCAAAAAACTTTCCGTGCCCCATTTCTCCAATGTCCGCCCCCTCACAAACGCCACCGCCACCTCCCCCTCAGCCCCCCCCCCCCTCGGGCCCCCTCCCCCCGTCCCACCACAACACCGCCCCTCCAACAACCGCTTACCGGTGAGTGATGTGAGTGACGTCATCTCTCATCTCCATCATCTCCACCCCACCCCCCTATCGCCACCGCCCAACCGCCTGTCCCTTACAATCCTCTCGGCACTGATGTCATCTCGGGCCAAGTGAGGCGAGTGTTTGAGGATGGAAGCCAGGAGTCTTGCTGGAATGTGTTTTTTTTTAAACACATTCACATCATCATCATCATTGTTATCATCGTCATCTTCCTTGCGATTGTTGCGATTATATTCTACTTGGAGGCACCCCGTCTGCTCGACGAGGCCTGACAGATGTTGCGATGGGACGAGACATTTGAAGCGTGCTGACACTTTTCTACGCACACTGTCCTATAACTGCCGGCACATTGTATTATGCAGCTGCTGCCTCGCAATGAACAGAGAGCAGCCACCCTCGTGTGCCGTGCCGGCCTTCATAGGTGCTGCTCGCTAATAGGTGGGGGGTGGATCTTTGTCTGTGTGTCTTAGTGGGGAGCGGTGGTGTAGCGGTTAGCGCGCTGTGCTGCGAACCAGACGGCCCGAGTTCGATTCCCGCTCACGGCCAACACCCAGTGACGATTATCTGAACCGGTCCTGGGCCTCTCTTAGGTCGACTCGGCCTCCAATGAGTACCTCGTGCGGTGCGTAAAAACATCGCCACTAGTGAGAGAAAGGCGGCCGGGCGTGGTGTTGGCCTCCCACCCTCTCGTGTGCCATTCTCGCCTTCATAGTAACTCGCTAACAGCACTTGCCCCAACAGTCTGTTGAGGCTATACGGGGGATCTTTGTCTTGGACCTGTGTCTATGTATATTTGCTCCCATCTGGTTAAAATAAAAAATCATTGATGGAAGAACAATTCAATCAGTGAAATCCACCTCCATCACTTGTGTCTGGAAATCCGACAGAGTTTGTCGCCAACATGAAGCTGAAGCCAGGAACCAATCATGGGGTCATCCTCCCTCTCTCTCTCGCCCTCTCTTGGTGGCTGGGTGGCTCAGAGGTCAGAATGCTGAACTGACACCTCTGAGATGTTGGGATGTTGGGATCCGAATTTTAGCCACTTGTGAATTAACCGGGTTCTCAAGTGTGGCGAGTTGGTGGTCTTATCTTGGTCAGCAATGACCGTAAAATAAACACTCACATTGGTTTTTCACGATCTTGGCTATATTCCAACTCTGAGATTTAAAAAAATATCAGTCCGATCGCTATTTTTTATTCGGTCTGTAGCAGAGTCCTGCAGTGAGAGCCCAGCGCTCCCCTCGTGTGTGCATGAAAGGTCACTTGAAGGGATGGATCTCAAAGGTATCTCCTCCCACAACCAATTCACTGCAAGAATTCCGAGAAGACGTGTCGACTCATGGCATGAGGCTCTTTGGCCAGATTCAGATGCTGCTCACACACACACACATTGACGTGCGAGTTTGTTTTGCTTAACCGGCTGTGAACTCCAAGAGCCCAGGACGGGTCTCATGTGCAAGAGTGACCTGGGGAATTAGTCTGCCAGTAGGGGGGCGATGGTTTGCCAGGTATAGTCGCAATTGAGTCAATTGTGCGGTGTATTAAAAAATATTGGAAAATTCACACGAACAAAATGAGTAGATTCCATGGGACAGGAACATTTGGATAGAATCGAGGGGCAGCGACAGTATCTAAAAAATAAAATATCTTCATCTTTCTCTCTCTCTGTGTCCCTCTCTCTCGCTCTCTCCGCAACACACAGGCGACTGCCTCAAGGAGAACCTGAAGCACAGCAAGTCGCTGCCGCTGCCAGCGCTGCCGCAGGGGGCCTTGCTCTCGCACGACGCTCAGTGCCGGGCCGTGTTCGGCTCGGACTTCCGCCACTGCGCGCTGCCCGGCGAGGTCCCGTGCCTGGCGCTGTGGTGCCGCAATGTGTCGGCGGTCCTCGCCTCCGCCAGCGAGTTCCTGGGCTGCCAGACGCGGCACTCGAACTGGGCCGAGGGCACGGCCTGCGGGCAGGACAGCGAGTGCTCCGATGGGCAGTGCGTCGCCTCGCTCAGCCTCGTGCAGGTCAGCTGAGCGGCCGCGCCGTTGTGGCGGGTGGTAGTAATGATTGATGGGTGGTGGTAATGACTGGATGGTGGTGGTGATCATAATTATTGGATGGTGGTGGAAATGACTGGGTGGTGGTGGTCATGGATGGGTGGTGGTGGTGATGAGGGTAGTGTTGATCATGAATGGGTGGTGGTGGTGGCTGGATGGTGGTAGTGTAATGATATGTGGTGAACGATGATGAATGTTGGTGGTTACAATTTGAATGGTGATGGAAGTCATGATAATTAATATGGTGGTTGTGGTGATATTCATAATGGTGAAGACAATAAGGGTGGCAATTAACATAACAATGGCATGACGAGACCTGCTTGCATCACTGGTCCATAGCCTTGCAAATATCCCTAACCAACTCCCCACGAGTACTACCTCTACCCAGCTAGGCCCTAGTACTATTACCAGCCCTAACCCTGCCGCTGTGCCGCTGCAGGTGCCGGTGGACGGCCAGTGGGGCGAGTGGGGCGCGTGGAGCGAGTGCTCGCGCTCCTGCGGCGGCGGGGTGCAGCTCTCCTCCCGGGGCTGCGACGCGCCCGAGCCCCGGCACGGAGGCGCCTACTGCGTGGGGCAGCGCGTGCAGTACCGCTCCTGCAGCACCCTCGCCTGCGGGGACGCGCACTCCGGTGAGCCGGGCTACGAGCGGGCGCGCGTGGGTCATCGAGTACGCGTGGGAGTGCGTGAGTGAGTGAGTCGGTGTGTGCGAGTGCGAGCGTGAGTGCGTGAGGTGCTGAAAACATCTTACGAATAAAAAGCCAATTTCGCAGCGACAGGACACCCCCTGAAACAACCGGCTAACCGGCCACTTGTACCAGTGGACAAATCGGTTCATTACCATTCTTTTTATTATCATTATACGCATCCGTCGCTCGTTCATTCGCTCCGCGCGCGATCCCATGTGCTCACGCGCGCGTGTTGTCTGTGCCCGTGCGTGTGCCCCCCCCCCATCCCGGGATCGGCAGACGGGAAGAGCTTTCGCGACGAGCAGTGCGAGGCCTTCAACGCGCCGGCTCAGAATGGCAGCGGCGGCCTCTTCCCCGGCGGCTTCCACCCCACGGGGGGCAGCAGCGGGGGCAGCACCCACTGGCGCTCTAAGTACGCCGGCGTGGCGAAGCGGGACCGCTGCAAGCTCGTGTGCCAGCTCGGAGGCAGCGACGTGTTCGCGATGCTGCGGCACAAGGTGACGTGTGTGTGTGCGGACACGCGCGTGTGTGCGTGTGTCCAGACGCGATGCTGGCGATGACACACTCCTCGTGTGCCGTGCCGGCCTTTGTAGGCGATGCTCGCGAACAGCACTTGAGGCTATACGACGGATCTTAGTCTTCGTGTATGGGCCTCCCCTAGGTAGACTCAGCCTCAAATGAGTAGTAGCTGGTGCGGTGTGTAAGCATCGCCACTGGCTTGGTGCTGGCCACCCACTCCCTTTTGTGCCGTGTCGGCCTTTATAGGTTTTTCGCAAACAGCACTTGCCCCAATTCTCTGTTAATGCTATACGGGGGAGCTTTGTGTGCTTGTGTGTGTCTCGGCCAGGTGTTATGAGTCGAGTGAGATGACTGGCAGAGACACGCACGCGTGTGTGTGTGTGCGTGTGTGTGTGTGCGTGCGCCTGTTTTCCCTCTGCCAGTCATCTTAGCCGGTTAACCCATAACACCTGGGTCTGTCCCGCGACCTCCTGCCTGCGGGCCTTCCTTCGCTTCACGTGGCCCCGAAGTGCACCTAGCCTGGCACAAGCACCATGGTGATTTCACCACCACTTAGTGACGCGGCGGGTTGTCCGTCTGCACTCGTGTGCGAGGAGTTTGCGGCGCATGGGTTAACGTGCTGCACTACGAACCCAGGGACCCGAGTTCGCAGCCAGTGTGTGTGTGTGTGTACGTGTGTGATTTGGTTGTGGTGAACTTTGCGTAAACCGCACCTAGCATGGCACACGTATCCACACGTGTGCCAGGCTAGGGGGCACGTGCTGTTAGCGAGCCACCCGCTCCCGCGCGCATACACATGCGGCGTGCACGCACGCGAATCTCGCGACCTGCGCATGCCTCTCCCGTGCCTCTCTCGTGCATTCCTCCAGCGCGCCGCCGTCCCCCAAACCCTTGAGTCACGGCCGATGATGGGCCCCGCGCGTAACTTACGTGCGCGTGGCCGCTCATTCCCCACAACACAATCTCAAAGTAAACAAAGCCGATGCATTTCCTGGCCGCAGCACAAACCTCTTCCTCCACCCCCTCGAGTTTCAGGGAGGGGGTCGGAGGGGGTTTGGCTCGAATCGCCGTCATTCCTGGCGGCTCTCGTCATAAATAAATAAAGTAAACGGAGGCGGACTATAAAAATGTTCACATTCCCCCATGTGTGGGTGTGCGCGCGCTCGTGTGTGCGCGTGTGCGTGTGCGATGCGCGTGTACGTTACTTGCATGGGGGGGAACGGTGGCGCAGCGGTTTGGCGCACCGCGCTCACGGCCAACCCCCCTCGACGATTATCTGAACCGGCACTGGGCCTCCCCCTAGGTCGACTGGGCCTTAAATGAGTACCTGGCGCGGCGCGCCCAGCAGCACCGACCTGGCGGTGCTGATCTTTGGCGTAGCTCGTTAGTAGCTGGGAGCTCCACCCCCCCAACCAAACCCCCTCTAACGATCCCGGCTCTGCCTGTGCGCGTGCAGGTGGTGGACGGTACCCCGTGCTGGCCCGACAACTCCGGGGTGTGCGTCCAGGGCAAGTGCGTGCGCGCCGGCTGCGACCACGTGATCGGCTCCAGGAGCAAGGCGGACAAGTGCGGCGTGTGCGGTGGGAACGGCTCCACGTGCCGCAAGGTGTCCGGCTCCTTCAACCACGCCAGGTGAGCGGGGGGGCCCTCGGGAGCGTTAATGGACGGGGTCGGTGAACATCCATTCGATGGCATCGATTGTTTTTCGGCGATCTTGTGAAGGTCGTACCACCGGCACACTCGCGCCGGAGGATGGTCTGGTACTCGTGGCCAGTTAGATTGTTCGTTAGGGTCTGCGGCATGTCCTGTAGTCGTGGCTGGCCGGTCACAATGCTCGGCACCGGCGATGCAAGTCTGGTCGGGGGAGGAAACAACAAACATTTAGAAACTTCAACGCAATTAATGCAACGTCTGTCTCCCCTCCCCCCACCGCCCCCAAGAATCTACGGCTACAACACTGTGGTCACCATTCCGGCCGGCGCCACCAGCGTGGAGGTGAAGCAGCGCGGGCGGCGCGGCGGCGCGCCCAGCAGCACCTACCTGGCGGTGCGGGGGGCCGCGGGGGGCCCCTACCTGATGAACGAGCGGGACATCCCGCTGCCCGGCGGGGCGCTGCTCCTCTACAGCGGCTCGTCGGGCTCGCTGGAGAGGCTGCAGAGCTACGGCACGCTGCGCGAGCCCGTCACCGTCCAGGCGCTGTCGCTCGACCCCAGCGTGCCGATCGGCATCAAGTACTCGTTCTTCGTGCCCAAGGGGGCGGCCGCGGCGGCGGCGGCGGCCGCGGCCTCCTCCTCCTCCGGCGGGCGCAAGGCCAAGGAGGCCAAGGGCCACGTGGGGCAGAAGGCCCCAAAGCGCGTCGGGAAGAACACATGAGCGCCGCGGGGTTCTCGCGGTCGCGCTCGGCGGCGGGCGGTGGGGGGGGTGTGGGTAGGATGGTGGCGGGGAGAGGTGCGAGCGAGCGGGCGGGGGAACCGAACTCGATTACTCGAAGGAGCTCCCGGCGTGCAGAGCGTCGAAACGTCGGACGTCGTGCCAAACGACGCACGGCGCGACCCCCGAGATGCGGAGACGCGCGTCCACCGCGTGCCGCTCAGGAGCGGCGGGGAGGAGGGGGGGGAGAAGGAGTTTGTGGCAGAGCGAAGATGGACGGACGCGGACACAAGTGCCTTCGCAGATGTTGTTGGGGCGGCAAAGGACAGGACGAAGTTTGGGGGGGGGGGATTCTGCAATGTCCCCCCACCGACCTGCACTGGACGAGGCGGGCGCTCGCTACGGGACGCCGCCGCCGCCGCGTTGGGGCTGGACGAGGTTTGAAGACGAGGAGGGGACGAGGTTTGAAGACGAGGAGGGGACGAGGTTTGAAGACGAGGAGGGGACGGGACGGTTCCTCGGAGTTCAGCCGACCAGGTTTTTCGCAGCCGCCGAGTGGACGGCCGCAGATCCCGGTGGACGCCACCGACGACGCGAAAGTTGTACGCGTGTGTTTTTGTTGTTGTTTTTACTTTTTGGTGACCAACGTTTGACGGGACCTCAAAGGCTCGGCCCACGTTGGCCACGTGATCGGGTTGTACGTCAGTATTGTGTTTAAACCCGAGCAAACACATACACACACGCAGGCACACAAACACAAACAAACTTCAACACACACAGACATAAACACAAACACACGCTGCCGAATGCTCACGAGCACATCCACCCACGCAAAGACAAAGACACACCCACCCACCCTCCCACGCACACCCACAAAGACACTCGTTTGCGCACACACGCACGCACACAGACACATACACAGACACCCACACACACAGACACACACGCACACAGACACGCACACAGACACCCACGCACACACCCACGCACACAGACACACACACAGACACATACACAGACACTCACGCACACAGACACCCACACAGACACATACACAGACACCCACACACACAGACACACACGCACACAGACACGCACACAGACACCCACGCACACACACACACCCACGCACACACACATACACAGACACACACACAGACACCCACGCACACACCCACGCACACAGACACACACACAGACACCCACAGGTGATAGTTGGTGGCGGCTGCCGCGCGCGCGGCTCAGGTCGCCGCCGGCACGGAGCGACCGACAGTTGTTGTTGTTGTTCTGGTGGTGGTGTCTTTAACGAGGTTCACGCGAGGCAGGGAGGGGGCTGGTGGGGAGGCGAGATTCACTAACACGTCGACGCGACGGTCCCTGCACTGGGAACGCGCCCAGGCTTAGATGTCGAACCTGAACGGCTCGGGAGGTGACGAGCTGGGAGGGACCCCGGGTCCCCGCAGCGATACTAACACGTTTTGAGGAACAACGCAAACAGCTCTCGTCTTGTGTACGTTCGTGACGACGACGGCGACAACAACGAAAACATTAATAACAGCTGATGTCAACACAAAATAACAGCTATATCCGACCGTCAATTTCAAGTCCTTTAAATTCTCAAAGTGGAATCTATCGGCTTGTTGTGCTGGGGCACACGGCTGGGCGCAGCTGCGAGTGCTATGAAGAAGGGCCATCGCTCGAAACGTCGCCTATTCATTTTGAGGCCACGCAGTGTTATTGGCGATTGATTTTGCTTGTCATTTGTGCTTGTGGCAGCACGGTTGATGCAGCAGCAGCATCAACGTCACGAAATAATCCGTTGCATCTACAAGATGAGAACTGTTTGCGATTTTTAAATGTTTTTGTTGAGGTTGCGTTTTTTGTTTTAACCAAGACGAGCACGTGCACGCACTCGCGTGTCAAACACGAAACCGCGTTTACTAACAAACCCACGCCCCGCCTCGCCTCCCCTGCCCTGTCCTCCCCTGCCCTACTCTACCCTCCCCTGCCCCTGGCATGTCCTCTCCGTGTAAACCCTCCGGGCAGAGGTCGCAAACAGGTTTTGATTCCTTACCCGTACCCGGCCGCACCAGGGTCACAAATGGGTACCCGTTCCCTACCCGTACCCTACCCAAAATGAGTGACAAACGGTTACTCACCAGTGACTCACGGCCTACCCGTACCCGGCCGCACCAGGGTCGCAAACGACTACCCGTACCCGTACCCGGCCGGGTACGGGTAGCCGGGTATCGGGTAGGGTACGGGTATCGGGTACCCGATTGCGACCTCTGCCTCCGGGGGGTGGGGGGAGATCTGTGAGCGTCGCACCGGGGGGATGACGGTCGTGGCACGAGCGTCGTCGCTTCTCGTCGTTGTCAAGGTCTCTGCGGCCGCTGGAGTCCATGCCCCCTCCACCCCTTCCTGCGATACGCGCCAAGCGCTCGCGAGCCCCCCAATCGTTCCGTCTGCTGCCCCCTTGCCCGTCACAAATTGTATTTTCCCCACGAGGTGGCCGGGCGACTTTCAAAGTGAGGGGGTTCGCTTTTCCGGAGAAATCCCCCTGCGTTCGGATCCTGGGTTTTCAAATGCTCACGATTTTTTTTTGCGAATATTTTCAACATCGCGAGTCTTAGCCCGGCCGCCAATTACTTAATCTGGCAAATTCCTGGTGTGTGTGTGTGTCCATTGCCTCGCAACAAACGCATCCCGAGCGGGGGTCGTGTGAGACGACGCAGAGCTGAATGTGGACCTCGAAGTGGTTCCGTGTCGTCTATTCCACAACGTGTTCCTTGTTCCTTGTGTGTGTGTGTGTGTACGTTGTGTGTGTGTGTGTACGTTGTGTGTGTGTGTGTACGTTGTGTGTGTGTGTGTGTGTACGTTGTGTGTGTGTGTGTGTACGTTGTGTGTGTGTGTACGTGTGTGTGTGTACGTTGTGTTTGTGTGTCTGTGTGTGTGTACGTATGTGTGTGTACGTGTGTGTGTACGTTGTGTGTGTGTGTGTCTGTGTGTGTGTACGTTGTGTGTGTGTACGTTGATCTTCTTTTGCGCACCGTACGTAGCCGGCCTTGCTAATCGGAGGTTGCGGGGGAAGGACAGCAAACTAATAAGACAAAGCATCTTGTAGTCTCGTGACTGCACACGATGCTGATAGCACAATTGATAATAAAGTAATAAGTAGGAATAAAACTAAAAATATATTTAGAGAGCTTTTGCTTGACTCTCACAGCTGCCCCCACGGGAGGCAGATCTACAGCAGCGAAAGACTTCGTAGCACAGAAGCCACCAGGTGTGTACGGCTTTTACCAAAACGCGCCAACCGCAACCAACCAAACATCACCAAACGCCGTCCCCTCTCCGGGGCGAATGGACCGCTCCTTGCCGAGGGCTTCTCGCATTCACCGACCAGCCACGGCACGTTCCATTGCGGTGGAGAGGGGGGAATGCTTTGCCGAGGGAGACGGAACTATTTATTGTGGGAGATTTATGCCCCCCCCCCCCCACCGTGCCCCCCCCCCCCACCAACCCCATCCGCCTTCACCGTAACAGGCAGCTAACAAACGCGCAGGACGCCTAAACACATTTTTTAAAAACCACACAACCAGCAGTGTCTCTCCCATTGGGAGGGTGCTCATCTCTGATGGCGACCCTGAGCCCCGTGGTGGACATTCCACATTGTGATGGCAGGGGGCAAGTCTATCCACAGGACAGCCGCTGTTACTTTACCACAGAGTGCTGCTCGATGTTACCCCCCTCCACCTCGACCCCCTCCGCCAGGGAGCCACGGTGACCGCCCGAGTCGCACCCCCCCCTCCCTCCTCGTGTGCGTTCCCCCCAGCAAAGCGCAGTGGCGTGTGGGGGGGGGGGTGTTGGCTGTGACAAGAGCGAGTGGGCATCGCCCTTTGGCCGTGCCCTCCTGTCGGGACGGCGAGCGAGGTTCGAGTTCAAATCCGAAATCGGGAGTCGCGAGCACTCCGACGAGAGACGCGCACAGGGCTCGCGGCGGCTCAACGGGCCGAGCCACAACCGCGAGAGGGCGGTCGTTGGAAGAAGAAACAACAACAATCCATTTCCGACGGCCACCTCTCTCGCCCAAGCGATTTGCGCTGCGTGCGTTCGAGGAGGTCCCGCGCGGCCGCTTGAACGCGCGCGGTTTCGCCCCCTCCCCCCCTCGCTCTGCTGTCGCTTGCCCCGTTCCTTAAGCTCGCCCCGGGGTCGGATCGACGGATGGGAAGAGAGAAAGGGGGGGGGGGGAGGTGTTTGTTTTTTTGACGGTTTAGTTATTTGTTGTTGTTGATCTTGTTGCTGCTGCAAAAGCACGAACGCCCCTCCGCGGCTGGGGAAACGAACGTGGAGTGGGAGAGACGGACCCCCCCCCCACCCCCCCACGGGGCGTGCCGAGACTGTGGCCGCCAGCAAAACCACGGAGTCCTCTCGGCATCGAGATCTCAAACAAACTCACACGAAGGTCACGTGTTAAACAAACAAACTCACCCAAAGGTCACGTGTTAAACAAACAAACTCACACAAAGGTCACGTGTTAAACAAACTAACAAACTAGAACTCTCACGGATTCTGGACTCGAATCTCTGACCCTGACACAAATCGCTGACGAGTCGAATCCGTCGGCGGGGCGGGAGAAGGGGCGAATCGTTTTCACCTCCAGTTTGTAATTTTGTAATGATGAGACAATTGGAAGTGCATTCGAGAATCGGAGACAAATTGTTTTGTTTGCCCCCCCCCCCCCCGCGCCTCCGATTAACACACATACATGAAATGAGGATTGAATGGTGGATTTTGGAGTTCCATCTCCGCTTTTTAATGCGTTGGAGTTTCTTCAGAGGGGTAGGAGGGGGGGGGGGGGTTGAGCTTGGGTCTACGGAGGCACGAGATGCCTCTCCCGGTGTCAGCGAACACACAAGGTTTCCCGTGATGTCCGTGACTTCACATTGAGCGGTGCGCGTGCGTGCGTGCGCGTGTTTTTTAAACTTTTATCTCGAGATTTATGTTTTATTCCGGTTTTTTTTTTACATATTTATGAATTATTTTATTTTGTACTTTTTTATATAAACATAGTCGACTTTATCTTACGCGTAATTCATAACGAGACGACGAGCTACTCTGCGCGAGTGGTAATACATAATTTAACAATAATATATTACGTTATATATATTTTAATGAAAAGTTCTACTAAAAAAACTGTTTAATAATTTAACGAAAGGAAAAACCGACGTCTTTAGCTGTTGAGTAAAAAAAAAATAACCTCTATTAACAAACGACGACAAAGTGAAACAAAACTAAATTATTGTTTTTGTTATATAACAAATTGTTGGACTACCTCACAAGTTTTAGTGTAACCTTTTTTGAGCTGTGCCTTGCATTAGCCCGGTAAACATGAAACCCTTGGGCTGACGTTGGGCTGACGTTGGGCCAACGGTTCCAAACCACGCGGCACCAACGTTGGCTCGACGTCGTCATGTTTATCGGGAGAGGTGGGTAACGAGTGCTGCTGCTGCTGCGGTAGAGGAGGAGGAGTAGGAGGTGTGGATTGGTGTGTATCTGTGCCGTGTGTGTTCGCGTGCGCGCTCGTGGGGGGGGGGGGTCTACACACGTGCGGCAACTTGCGACGCGACGCGGTTCCGAGTTTCCACGACAGTCGCTGTCGAGCGAGCCGATTACAAAAAATAAAAACTCCAAAAAAGAAACTTTGAAAAAAATCGCACGGAATTTGAAGCTTTAAACATTTACGGCGGTGGCTTTTGTGAAGACCAGAAAACCCGTTTCGATCAAATGAGAAAGCGGGTTGGACTGGCGCAAGGATACGAATCGGAGTTTTCACAATTGGACACTGGGTCACGATCGAGAGGGAAATTAAACGGCAAAAAGTCGGCGCACCATTTTCGATTTGTAAGTAAAATAATTTACCCCGAGCCTGGATAAATCTCAACACTGTGTGGTCTTTAAAAATAACACTGTGTGGCCTTAAAAAAATACGAATATGATTGCACGTGCTATGATGAATGGTCATTGCCTGAAATGTCACCTATTATTATTTTTTTTCTTTTAAGGCCACGGCGTTATTGACGAGAATGTGTTGGAGGTTTTTATTGTGTGAATTGTGCTTGTGCAGCACTTCCAATGCGGCAGCATCACCAAAAATAATTTGACAAAAAAACACGACTTTGAATGTCCTGGTTGACTTTTAATGTCCCGGGCAAGGCTGATGACAGATTTCCCCAGGAGGGCATCTGCCTCCTCTACAAGAGGATCATTCTTGCAAAACCAGGAGAGGTGGGGCAACCCCCTCTCACTCACTCATTCACTCCCTCACCCTCTCACCCTCTCACTCACCCACTAAGATCTAAAGCTTATCCCAGGATAGCTACCTCGCCAAACGAGGGACGATCCTGGAATAAAAAAAACCAGACCAGGTGGCAAGCCCTGAGCTTACTGTGCGACACCGGCCGTGTTAGTCGCTGCGAGTCGCTGCGTGTGGACCGGGCCCCGAAACGTCGCCCCCCCCTCCCTCTCCTCTTCTCCACCGCAGAGAGGAGGAGGGGGCGAGAGAGCACGGAGTAGGATGGTGCCGAGTCAGATGCCGGTCGGTTCGAGGGGGGCAATATGAGCGCCCGATTATCCTTCTGTGAAGGTCTAATATTATTATTGTTGTTGTTGTAATATAGGCAATACTATTGCTACTCTCGTTATTGTTATGTTACCCTATCTAGGAAGCCTATTTGTTTTTTTTTTTATAAAGCACTGCTTTTAAGTATGCCATACTATCATCATTATAAAGAACTGTTACACAAGCTGGTGTTGTCGTCTCTCTGCACGTGTGTGTGTCGTGTCGTGTGTGTCGTGTGTGTCACGGTCACGAACACCCAGCGCCCATTATCTGAACCGGTCCAGGGTCCTGCTCTAAATTGACTCGGCCTCAAATGAGTACCTGGCGCGGTGTGTAAACATCAACACGAGGGAGACAAAGGCGGCCGGGTGTGGTGTTGCCACCCACCCCGTCGTGTGCCTTGCCAGCCTTGAGAGGTGCTCGCTAACAGCACTTGTCCCCTACAGTCAGTTAAATGCTATACGGGACATCTTTTGTGGTCGAATGCCTTTGTAGCCGGCTGGGAACAGCTTTAACAGCTTTTTTTGTGTACTCTAAATACCGTCCTGTTGCTAAATCTACGTGCGGTTAAGTCGAATGTGTCGGCTCCCTAATTGTGTATTTTTAGCTTTCGCACCACGCGTGGGTCAGAGCGGAGTGGAATTGCCCCCCCCCCCCCCCCCACAGTGGACGTGAACTCCGTGAACTGATTTCAATGTCCTACCACGGCTAACGTCGGCGACGAGGGCGATATTTGAACTGCTTCTACATCTCCACTTCACTGACCACCAGCGCGTGGCGAAGTGTGGTGAAACAACCTCGCTGGCACAAAACGGCAGGGGGGGGGAAGAAGAGGCCCTCATCCAGCAGTGGATTGAGCGAATGACTGTAGATTACACCGTCTGATACAAGACAGCCGGAGCGGTGATGCAGCGGTGAGCGCACCGCGCTGCGAGCCCGGCCGCCCGAGTTCGACTCCGGGCCAGGGCTAACATCGGCGGTGAGTGATGTCAAAACCGGATCGCTTTACCAATCCCCCCAATGATTGACGAGGCACGGATTGACCATACTTCACCACGCAGGAAGTGCTACCAGTTTATTATTAGTATCGCACAGGCATTCGTCAGACTCGCTACACGACATTTGAGTTTGAGAGTGCAGAGGATTAATTTATTGAAACAAAGCAAACGATCATTTCACCGCGGACATACGTTTCTCCCCCGATTGTAACAACCGCCGGTTTTTGTGTTTGTTTGTTTGTAAAATCGTCCGTCCCGTCACTTCAAACACCGACCGGTGACCAACAAGTAACGTGCACACGAGCGCCGTGACGAGCGTAGAGGCGCAAGGAGCTATCGGGGGAGTTGACCATAATCGGAGTTGTTTCGGTGAACAAAACGCAATAAACACAACACCCACATTCCACGCACAGCAAGGGGCATTACTACTACTGCTGCTGCTGGAACAAAAACAATAAATACCCTTAAAACACACACACATATATGTAAAAGAGTTGAACAAGGACGGAGAGCATACGGGTGGCTGGGTGGCTGTCTCCAAGTCGCTGGGTTCGAATCCGGCTGGTGGCGCGGCCTCGCGGTGCCGCGTTGCTGGCGCAGAGGTTCACGGTTCAGTTAAAGCGGCCGCCCCGGTTAATACTGCGGCGTGTGATGACCGGAATAACACTCCCGTCTGCGTCTGCTTCACGGTGGACGTTCAAGGATACCCTGCCGTCCATCGCAAGAGTCGGCCAATTGGGTGCCCGCGTCAGGGTCCTGATTTGAAACATTCTACCGCAAATAGCGCCACTGGGATGATACCCTATCGTGATCATAGCCGCCTACTGGCAGGCTGAAGCCCCAGGACAGCTTTGCAAATTGAGACTATACTGGTCCCTTGAGTTGCCACCTGCTTAAACAATTAAAACTTTATTTAAACTTGAATCCGCGTTTCGACCGCCTGTGGTTAAACCGCGTTCTCAAGTATCACGGGAGCTGATGGTCTCAGCTCAGCCACCGTTGCCTGAACACGCACACGCACAAAACCTCCCAGCATTACATTCGGTCGTCCCCTTAACTTTTGCTCAAACTCCTCCATCTGTGAGGATCTGAACAAATTGGAACACGCCACGTGGATCGGAGGCAATTGGATATAGCCGCAGCTGTAGTTCCGTGACGTCACCTCGTTCTCTGACACGGGGTAGTGCACTGCTCACCGAGATCCTTGCGAATGTAAACGTCTTCGTGACAAAGGTAAGGAGGTGCTGGTTTGGGGGCGGTGGTGGTTTGGGGGTAATAACACAAAAACAAAACGATAACGGCAAACATGCATTACCACACCTCCCCGTCCCAAATCATCCCAGCACCAAATAAATTCATTCCCCGTCAAATATAAATAGCGCGACTCAAATTCACACACGCAACGCACCTGCGATCATCCAGAGATATGTCGGCTAGGGTTGGCGGACCGCGTACGGATCAGTGTTCGCGAGGCGGGTCCGGAGAGGGCAGTGCAGCATGCAGGGTTTGGGGTGAAGCCATCTGCGCAGAACATCTGTGAGCGGTGTGGTTTTGAGCGTCGCCCCACGAATCGCGTGTTGCGAAGCGGCGTTTTCAAAAACAAACAGATCGGGCGAACATCGGGCTAACACAGCGGGGACCTTTGTTTTATTATGTTTTATTTTTATTATTTTATTACTTCCCTTCTACGTGACTTTACCGAAAGAACCAAGAAGACAGCGGGGACCGTCGTGGATGAGGGTCTGGGAGACGCGTCCAGTGGAGGATCTCCTCCATGGATTTGACAAAATATAAACGGCGGTTCAAAACGATTCCAGGCATGTGTTGACAATGATGGCGAACAATTGGAGACTGACTTGTTGAAGCTATTAACATTACATTTGTTATTAAATTATTGGTTCTTTCGGTAAATTCACGTAGAAGGGAAATAATAAAATAATATAAAACAATAAAACATTCTCACGACGTTTCGACTGCAACACAAGCAATCATCATCAGGTGTGAAATCCACAGAAAGAAATTTGAAAAATTACATTTGTTGTGATGTTACAGTGTATTATTATACGTTCTTTTTCCATTAAAAACGATAGTCCCATGTAAGTGTTAACATTTTTTTAAAGCACCCCTGTATTTGATGATGGCATTTGTGCACAAGCACGGTTATCAACAACACTCGTGTAACACACACGCCAGTTACAACACTGTGCCCCTAAACGGTAAAGTATGTAATCGGTGACGTTTCTGGTAACGCCCCTTCATCATTAACACGCAAGTGAAGAAGGGGAAATTGTCCGAAACGTCACCGATTAGCTTTTTTGTCCTTTTCAGGCCACGGTGGTGTTGACAACACGTGCCGGCAGTGGTGTTGACAACACGTGCCAGGATGCTTATCCTCCACGGGGCTCTGTCCGCCGCATTAACCGCTCGTCAGCCCATAACCGGTCAGCCAGACACCGCGTCTGCAGGACATTGCGACGTGCGCATCGCAATTTATTGGAACGCAGCGGAGGCGGACGATGATCTCCGAGCCGCACTAAGGCACCGTACACGAGACGAGGGAGGTGCCGTGAAAGAAGAAGTTCCTGTATGGAATGCTTCTCGATTGCTTGCATATTACTGCTGCCACATCTGGGAAGGGCTACCCCGTTCCTGGCTCTCCGCACTTGATGCAACGCAGAGGAAGCAGGCAGGTTGACCGATGAGCCAGCACTCACCGACTCACCCCAGTCACTCATCCTCCAGCGGACAGTCGTCTCCTTAACACTCTTCTATCGCTACTAACATGGTTAACGTTCCCATGGACTTCACTCTGAGTTTCGTCTCACTCACCTACTCACTCACCCGCCCACTCGCTCACCCGCTCAATCGCTCACCCGCCCACTCGCTCACCCGCCCACTCGATCACCCGCCCACTCGCTCACCCGCTCAATCGCTCACCCGCCCACTCGCTCACCCGCTCAATCGCTCACCCGCTCACTCGCTCACCCGCTCACCCGCTCAATCGCTCACCCGCTCAATCGCTCACCCGCCCACTCGCTCACCCGCCCACTCGCTCACCACACCGCAGGTCACAACGCATCTCCGTCGTCTTTTTCCACCATTGCTCGAAAAACAACCTCGCTCAATTCAAGAAACACGTTACATTCTTACATTGTAACAACTTTGATAAGTGCCAATTGTTGCTGGCTGCCTGACTTTTTGTGCCATTCGTCCTGCGCCCAGCGAACCGTGTTCAAGACACACACACATATATATAAAGAGAAGACATGATGGTTTCTGTATTGGACGGGATGAGGTGGTGTTGTGCTTCCACTTGCTTGTGGATCACCGCACAGATGTTATGAAACTCCCTGCCTGTGAGCGTCGAGGATGTTGCATATCCTGGCTTGCCAGAAGGCGAGACAGCGGGTGGACTAATAGCCATCAGTTTTCATCCGTATGGGGATAGAGCGTTGCCCCCTTTGCGTGCGTGGATTTTCTCCGGGAGCTCCGGTCTCCTCCCATGTGTATGGACACTCGTCGTTCATTGGCTGCAAATATTTTTAAAGAAAAACCCAAAGCCGAACCCTCCAGAAAAAGTGCTGTAACGCAACGTGGCTCTCCTGCACAAACGCGTAAATTATTGTGTAACAATACAAGCACAACAGAAGATGGATTCATTAATCCGCTGCTGCACTGCCCAGTCTGGAAAACCTTGCAGTCCAAGTCGACAACTCCGTGGTATTTCCATGAAATTTCCCATCCAAGCAATAATTAACTGGCTCTACCCTGCTGTCTGTTAATTTATAGAGTTATTTATTCATTTATTTTCGTCTGTTATTTCATTACCTGGGGTGAAGCGGCTTTGGCCCAGCGCTTGACGCATTTCCCTCTGATCACCGTGACCCGAATCCGATTGCCAGTCACGGCTTACCGGCGCGATTCCTAAACCATCCCTCCTTCACCAATCGGCACCGACCAGCGTGGTGAGGTATGGCCAAGCAACCCGCGTGTCTGAGAGCGTTTGGGCGGAATGAATGGACAAAAGCGGCTGCAAATCATTGCCGTGATTGTTATAATTTCACGACCTACGAGAGAGCTGTTTGGTTTGCTTCGGGCCGCGGGTCTCTCCCTCCTCTCTCTCCTTCTGACGAGCAACAAACCGCAGGTCACACTCTTTCAGACGCGAGTTTTGACGGGCTTGCGATGGTTGGCACCTTGGGACTCGCGATCCACAAAGTCGGTGGTTCCACTCCGTCTCCCGGCACGGCAAGTTTCTTTCGTCCTCCCCTGCGCCTTAAAATCCCCGTCCGCCCAGGTGGCGGCGTGCGAGCGAGCGCTTGCAGGGGCTGCGCCTTGTGCCCGCCGTGCGCGAGGCGGCGGCCGTCGTGGACTCAAGAGGCCGGGACGGGTGGAGCAGTTGGATGCAATCATGACGCAGATTATTGAACTCACTCGGACAAATTAATTCCATGTTGATGGTGCCTGGCGGTCCTGCGAGCGGGCGCATGTGGTTTGGGAGGAGAGGAGAGGAGGGGGAGGGAGGGAGGGAGCAGTGGTGCGGTGCTTTAGCCACGCGGCGCGCAGGCTAGGGTTCGATTCCCGGTCGCGTGTACGCAACCGCCGCTGGAGCTCTGTCGTGCGACATGTGAACGTGCGCTTCGCCTAGGTCTGCTGACAGGTGCCCGCCGGCGGAGGAGAAGTGCAGGAAAATGAACGGAAAATGAACGTGGCGAGGCGCTGGGAATAGCACCGAGAGACTCGAAAGTTGAGCGCACGGATCGGGGAAAAATGTAGGGAGAGAAGCGCAATTGGCGGTCGACATCGCGGGAGAAGCCACGCGGGGGCTTGGGCAGGAGACGCCACCATCGCGACGGCGGCCGGCGGGCCGGGACCCCCACGGAGGAGATGGAGCGACGAGATTAGTCAAGTTCGCGTGCGTGCGTGCATGAGGAAACGCGGGGATGCGAGGGATGGAGGTGGGGTGGGGAGGCCTTCATCCAGCTGGCTGATTTAAAATAAAATTTAAAAAACCCCGACACTCACACCGGCCCTGCGATCCAATTAATCGCAGGGTGTATATGATCGTTGCATAAGATAATCAAGGGGGTCTAATTAGACACCCCACCGGCATACTTTGCGAACACACCCTGGCAGCTAACTCATGCAAGACGTACTTGGTGCTCGTACTGTGCACGTATCGAATGCAAGCCCCCCACCTTCTGCAAATCCCCTCCCAGAGATTCGCCGAATTGTCGCAAGCCGCAGTCTAAGTGACATCACTGCATTGAAGCCGACTCCCAAGTCTGATGTCTTTGTCACTGGCAAAGATTCAGACATGTGTGAGCATCGCACAAGATCTCGGTAGGATTCTGTCTAACTGGCAACTCCCTGCTGATGAGAACCAGAGAAGTAAAACCGGCGCAGAGTTTGCTGCTGAAATGAATGCGACTGAGTAGCACTCCTCGCAAGGCCGGTGGGCCTGAGTGTGATTGTATTTCGACGAGGCGAAACAGACCCCAGCATGCAACAATGATTGCCTTAATTTACCCGGGCGTGAATCACCCAGTCTCAAGGTCTCCTTGGTATCGTCTCGTTTTGTACAGGATGTCCCAACTGCTATGGTCTTCACTCCGTTGTGTCCACTGGATGCCTCGTCTCTACTGTTGTGTTTTGACGTCTGTCGTGTCGTTTGCACTGCCCGCCTCGCCCGTCCTGATCGGTAGCCCCGCAGGAATCGTTTGCATAAAATGTACGCGCGTGCAGAATAACCGATCGATGGGTGCATTCACACGCGTCGGATTCCTCCAGTCTAAATGAAAAACTCTGAATCCACGTGGCATTATGTTACCGCTCGTCATGCATCCGAAATGCGTTGAAGCACGTGGGATAGGGGAGGACTCTAAAATGCACCTAGCCTGACACGAGAGCCATTGCAAGATCAGTGGCGGTGACATCACCACCACTTAGTGGTGACTGACGGCCGTTGCGAACGTTGTTGTCGTTGTTGCTGTTGTTGTTGTTGTGTGCGTGCGTGGTGGGAGGCGCCTAAGGGCAGGGGGCTAGCTAGCAAGAGTCTGCTCAGACGTCGTGGTCGGGCACGTGGCTGTACCCGGTCTCTGATGGGGGAGAGTCGCAGGGACAGAGCCACAGCGCGATGTAACCTGCAAGACACACGCACACACACAGTCAGTTTGACACACACACACACAGTCAGTTTGACACACACACACACACAGTCAGTTTGACACACAGACAAAGATCCCCCTTATAGACTCAACAGACTGTTGGGGACAAGTGTTGTTAGCCAGCATCTATTTGGGCCGGCATGGTACGCGAGGGTGGCCAACACCACGCCCGGCCGCCTTTGTCTCCCCAGTGCTGATGTTTTAGACATCGCACCAGGTGCACATTTGTGGCTGAGTCGACCTAGGAGAGGCCCAGGACCAGTCCAGATAATCGTCACAGTGTGGTGTTGGCTGTGAACGTGACACGAACTCGGATCACCGGATTCATAGCGCAAAGCGCCAATCAATAGGCCACTGTTTACACGCACACACAGTTTTTACACACAGACATACACGTGGTTAGCTTCATAGGCATTTGGCAAAGACACACAGACACACACACACGGACCCACAATCAGTTTAAAACACAAAGACACAGACTCAAGTCAGTTAGACAAATACAGATACACATACACAGCAATACACGGTCAATCTAGGACACCTGCAAAGACAGAGACACACAAACATATACACACGTGCACATACACTCACAAAAAACAAAGACAAAGGTCCCCCATATAGCCTTAACAGACTGCTTCTGTTAGCGAGCACCTATGAAGGCCAGCACGGCACACGAGGGGCTGGGTGGCCAACACCACGCCCGGCCGCCTTTGTCTCCCTCGTGGCGATGTTTATTCACCGCACTAGATACTCATTTGAGGCCGAGTCGACCTAGGGGAGGCCCAAGACCGGTTCAGTAAATCGTCACCAGTGGTAACCGTGGGCGGGAATCGAACCCAGCTCGCTTGGTTCGAAGTGCAATGCGCGAACCACTGCACAACACCGGCATGCACACACACGTCAGGTTACACTCCGGATAATTATTTTTTCCATTCTCCAACCTCCCTCCCATCTCTCCTCCCCTCACCTCTCTCCTTTCCGCCTGCCCGCCCGCGCGCCCGCCCACCTACTTACTCTCCTCTTCCCCAGGGGGGCTCCATCGCCCCCTACAACCCACGCTTTTCGGAGCCACGGACGGAGATTTCGTTTTCCCACGACACCTGGCGGTCCCCCAAGCAGGACTAAGCGCGATCGTAATTGCGCGGTTAATTACCAAAGCTAATTACAGACTCGTTAAAGACCGTTGCAATCGAAACCGAAATTCGATCTGAAGTTGTATTTGTGACCGGATTTTTTTTAACCCCCACCCCTCCCTTCCAACCCCGGCCAGGATTGATGCAGGGACAACGCTTGACACCAACTTCCTCCGGACTCCGCGTGAACCCCACAGCACCGGGTGCCGGCCTTTAGCCTCTCGATCCGCGCGCGTTCATCCAGCAGTGGAGCGCAGTGCGTTTCGATCCGCCTCGTTGTTACGCCTGCCACCTCTACGAAACATCGGTGATGGATTTGTGAGCAGAGGAAGAATTGTCAGACAAGATGGGAATCATTGATGACATTTAAAGTTAAAATTTGTTTCTTTTCATTCTTATTCTTCTCGCTTGAAAATGTGCTCTTTGTTCTTTTCAACTGTGCATTGTTAGCTATACGTAATTGCTGTTGTACTAGCGAAAAGTCAATACATATCTAAGTGTGTGTTCTCCGGTCCTTGCCTAATCCCGGCCCAGCTAGCTCGGGAAAACGCAAGAAACAATATGTCCCGAATATTCCACGTGTAAACACTCATTATTAATTGACTGAAAACTTTTGAATATATATGCATAATACTCAACTATTCACGAATATGTTGAGTTTTTTTTGTTCTTTGTGCTTGTGGTGCATCAATGCCAATGCAAGTAACGTGTTTAATATCTGGGGGACTGCAGAACTTGGGCAATTATTTCCGCTGGATCACCACTGCCTGGCTGCTGCCTTCAAGCCTTGCCTGTGGTGAGATGCAACTTGCATGAATGACGTTACTCTGAAATGAAACCAAACATTATCATAATACGGGAGAACAGCATGACAGCATGTAAATGCATTGCCTTGCGTGGTGTACAATCACGCACCTCCAATGGGAATGGTTGGCTACGTACGGTGCGGTAGAAGTTCAACATAAATCCATGGCTGACGGCAACAGGGACTTGCCATATCTGATGTTCCCGGGAAGACTTCCGAGCAAAGCTTCCTTAAAAAAAGAGGACAATCCTGGCAGGTGGGTCGCCGAGGTGTTGTATCTGTCGTGCTGTCGGGACACGACAACTGAACACGCCAATGCTGGAACCTGATTCACGACTGATTACTTTTTGGTCAGATCCCCGTGTGAGCCCCCGCCGCGTGTCGCACCCCCCCCCCCCCCGACTGCCGACGCAGCCAGATAAATACACTTGTCGCTTGAATAAACGCTCCAATTTTGTCATTGATACAAAGCGACCGCTGTGTTGTACCGACGATCCACACAGCGGTTACTGATTTGGTGTACGGCCCTACCACCGTGTTGGTCGTCAGGGTGTAGGGAGGGAGGGGGAGGGAGGGGTGTACGACACACACCGTCGGTTGACTCGTGCTATCTGACCCAAACATCCATTATGGATGACGATCATGATGATTCATTCTGGCAGCGAAAGCCCCCCTCTGCGTTAAATGACGTCTGTATATCTCACGGCGCAGCGGGTGGTAGCGTAGCAGCTCGTGCACTGTGCGCCAAACCCGGTGGCTACATTCTATTCCCGCTCACGGCCAACCTCAGTGGCCCTGGGCCTCCTCTGGGTCGACTCAACCGCAAAGAACTGCCTGGTGCGGTGTGTAAACACCGGCACTGGGGAGACAAATGCGGCCGGGCGTGGTGCTGGCACCACGGCCTTCGAAGGTACCACTCGCGAACAGCACTTGCCCCAATAGTCTGTTGAAGGCTATACGGGGGATCTTTGCCGTGCTAATGGGACTACCATGGCAGGGTCGGGGAAACCTTTTCTGGAAGTCATTTAATCTCATCTCAAGGGAGGAGTGGTGGAGAAATAATGAATAAATGGTGCAAGTTCAGAGCGCGTACACCACACCGATCCCCACGTCGGGAGCACAGTCTGTTGAGAGAAGTCCAAGCTCCTATTAAAACCACGCGCACATTGACTCACACTCCCATGACTAAAAGTGCACACGTACTCACACACACACACACAGCCTCTCGTGTTCACCAAGACCCTCTATAAAGATTGTGCCGATTAACAGGCACCTATTAAAGCCACTCAAGCGCGCACCCACACGCAAGTATGTGCACACACACTCTCATCATCACAACAAAGGTAAAGATCACCTGTGTAGCCTGTATATCCTTAAACAGACTCTTGGGGCAAGTGCTGTTAGCGAGCACCTATGATGGCTGGCATGGCACAAGAGGGGGGTAGGTGGCCAGCACTGCACCCGGCCACCTTTGTCTCCCTAGTGGTGACGTTTACACACGGCACCAGGTACTCATTTGAGGCTGAGTCTACCTAGGGGAGGCTCAGGAAACATTCAGACAATCGGCACTGGCGTTGGCCGTGAGCGGGAATCGGACTTGGGCCGTCGGATTCGTAGCGCAGAACGCCAACCACTACACACACACACCACAGACACACACACACACGCGCATACACGCGCACACACACACACACACGCGCACAGACACACACGCGCACCACAGACACACACACAGAACCTCCCCCACCGAAGGCAACATCACCGATCACTCCTGGGCAGCTCCCGTTTCGCCATATCGCCCTCATCTCTTATCTCCTCCCAACATCAGAGCCACCCCGCTCGCGTCCCCGCGACACGAACAGTCTGTGCCGTGTCCTTCGTCGCCTGCGATGCAGGCACGCCGAGTGGTCAGGCTGAGAATAAAATAATAAACCCTCTCCCTCCCCTCTCTGTCTCTCTCTGTCTCTCTCTGTCTCTCTCCCGCGCGACGGAGATTCTCCCTCCGTCCGAACAGATGACGACCACGCGACTGACGTCAATTCTAATGATGTTCTGGAGAGGCGAGCGAACCGAACTTTGCCACAATTACAGCCGCGTCCGTGCGTGACTTTCTTCAACGATGCCGCGTCCGTGACCGTCCAGAGGACTTTGCCCACTTCTGATGTCTCTCGGCTTCACCGTGGCACGCCGCAGGGAGGCTCGTTGCTGGGTCCACTTCTTCTAGTGTGGATACAACTGAGCGGCAACTGTAAATACTAATAATCGTGTGGGTGGTGGTTTAGCAGGATGCTTGAAGCGATGTAGAACTCTGGACTGACCCCCGCACCCCGTGAGTGAAACCAGTCAGCCTCCACAGCTGTCATTGTCTGGGAGCCGAAAGGTGCGGTCCTTGGATTGTTCTCGTTCGAAGCATTCATAAATATCGATCCATCGATAAACCTCTTGTTGTAAGCCACACCACCTCTTTCTCTCGTCCGATCAATTTCCTCCACGGCTATTCCTATGATTCTTATTCTTGTTTACCCAGCAAAGCCTCCCTGAGTCTCACGACTTTTTTTTATGAGCGTCGTATGAAGCGCTCGCAAGTAGGGGCTGAAGTTGCTGCTGCTGCGTGTGATCCCAGTTGACTGGTTGGGAGCGGTGGTGCAGCGGTCAGCGCTACGCTGCGCTACGAACCCGGGCGACCCGAGTTCGATTCTCCGCTCGCGGCCAACACCGGTGACAATTATCTGAACCGGTCCTGGGCCTCCCCCTAGATCGACGCAGCCTCAAAGGCGGCCGGGCGTGGTGTTGACCACCCGTGCCGGCCTTCATAGCTGCTCCCTAACAGCACTTGCCCCAACACTCTGTTCAAGGTAGACGGGGGATCTAAGTCTTTGTATGATCCCAATTGAGTAATTTGCAGGTCGATTTTCAGATGGGGACGTTTGGCCACCACCAATTGCATTGTGGGTGTGTTTAGCAATGGGAGTAAACGGGAGAAGCCCTGGCATACATCACCGTGCGACACGTGGGAGACGCACGGAACGGGTTTACATGACCCCTGCAGCCACCAGGGAAGGGTCACCCCCCCGTGTCCAGGTTTGACCCGGTACTCTCAAGGAATTGGCATCTGCGTGTCGGGTGGCAGGAATCGATGTGGTTCCGGTTTTGTGTTTTAACCTTCATCACAGGATAACTGCACATTCTAGATTTGAAGCTTTCGTGACTGCAAGGATTCATACTCTTAGTTTTTTAAGAACTTGCATCTTGGAATCCCTGCCTCACTTGATACAGCAGATCTGGCTGTGACGGTCCCACCTGATGACGGAGACTTGTGTTGCCTCCGAAACGTCGTGATTTTTATTATATTATTTTTTATTAATTTTAATTTCATCATTTTTTTTACCTACGTGACTTTACCGAAAAAACTAAGACTATGATGACTGCACAGTTTTTTTTTACATATAAAATGGACCTATGTGGCCGGCTGAAAAACATGTCCGGCTTTGGCCCATGGTCAAGGTGCCCACTGCCCTGCAATGTCCGTATGACGGACCGTGGTGAAGACGTTCACGGCGCGCGGGTACGGTGCGCTGATCACCGTCAATCCACTGCTGGATAAAGGCCTCCCCCCGCCCCCCTGCCAACACCCCCCTGTCTCGCCGTGTCCGTCAGAAGGATTGTCGGACCAAAGTTCACCGAGTTTGTTCAATGGCGGTTCAGTTACCGCTCGCCCACTGACGTTAGCAGTGGCCGGGAATCGAACTCGGGTCGCCGGGTTACCGCTACGCGACCGCTCCCCCCCCTCCCCCCTATTTAAATTTACAGTCTTCTTATATTTACTTGGGGTTTTTCTTTTTGGTAATGAGGTAATTACGTACAGTGCCATAGTTCTGTTTGTGCAATTACGCGTAATTACAGCCGTGTGCCGCACAGTGAATGGGCGGATGAGTGAAAACACATGCAAATAAATAAATAAACATGCTAGATTTTGGCAAAGCGGGGGGGGGGGGGGTTAGATGGGGTGGCGGGAGGTAGCGAGGAGGGGGGGTGTCATCAGAGAGACCGTGAGTGGGCGAGTTAGACACACGCACGCACGCCGAGTGTGCGTGTGTGCATTAGCGAGTGTGCGTTAGCGAGTGTGCGTGTGTGCATTAGCAAGTGTGCGTGTGTGCGTTAGCGAGTGTGCGTGCATCACAGCTCCGTACGAGGAGCGCGGGTGCAGCGGTTGGCGCTACGCTGCGCTGCAAACCCGGCGACCCAAGTTCGATTCCCACCCACGGAACAGCACCGGTGACGATTATCCGAACCCGTCCTGGGCCTCCCCCTTGATCGACGCAGCCTCAAATGAGTACCCGGTGCGATGCGTAAACATCGCCACCGGGGAGACAAAGGCGGCCGGGCGTGGTGCTGGCCACCCGCTCCACACGTGTGCCGTGCCGGCCTTCATAGGTGCTCGCTTACAGCACTTGACCCTACGGTCTGTTAAGTCTGCACGGGGGATCTTTGTCTTTGATGTGCACCACAGTGCGTGCGTCTGCGTACGCCGGTGCGGAGGCGACGTCGCACCGCGTCCGTGCGACGGCGCCCGGCGCCACCACGCACGAGTGAATGCACGCGCGCGTGCGGGTGGCGTGCGTGAGTGAGTGCGTGCGAGCGTGAGCTAGGGTTGCCAACTGTGTCCTGGTTTTCCCAGGATCATCCTCACGTCAATATCGCTGTCCTGGGTGGGTAGGCTCATGTGCGGGCGACTGAGTGAAGGGGTCGGTTAGGGGTGGGTGGGTGGGTGGGTGGGAAGTTGGGGAGGTGATTGAGGGGGTGACGGGATGAGGAGGGTTGCCGGCTGCTGCTGTCCTGGGACATCTGCGAGTCTTCCCGGGACATTCAAAGTTTCTGGTTTTCATCAGTTACATAACAACAATAACAACAATGCACCACTCAAAACAACGGATTTTCATGCAGCTCTCCAGCTGGTACTGCGAGGAACCCTTCCTCCCATGTTATTGTCTTGGGTTTTTTTAATACCACAGACGTTAAGCGTGTGTGTGTGTGTGTCAACGTACATACACGTGCGTACACGTGTACACATACATACACGTATGTGCGTGCGTGTGTGCATGTGGGAGTGGCGGGAGTCTCACCGCGTCCGAACACCTCCCGTAGCACGGCCATGCCGCTCCTCCTGCGTGGCCGCCTGGCGTCGCGCGACGCCTGCTTCATTAGCTGCTCCACCGCCGTCTCGTCGGCCAGCACGGACGTCAGCTGTCGCGCCACGCGCACACACACGGGCACACACACAGGCACACACGCACACACACGGGCACACACACGGGCACACACGGGCACACGCACGGGCACATACGCACACACACGGGCACACGCACGGGCACACACACGGGTACACACACGGGCACACACACGGGCACACACACGGGCACACACACACGGGCACACACGCACGCACGTCAGGCGAGTGAGACACACACGTGCGCACAACGGACACGTGACATCCAATGTTACTCTAAGACAATCGCCGCCACCTCTAAAGCCGCCTTCTGAGTTTCCCTGAGTTGGGTTGCCACGTTCCGAGATACAAAATAAATCTGGGTCATATCGCAGGGAGAAGAATCTCTCACAACACCGGAACGATGAGAGAACTGCACGCAAACGCACCGCCTTCCTGAGTGGTGTCTTGTTACTCATTGTTATTGTTGTTATCGTGCAGTGCACAAACTGGGACCACGATCTTTGAAAAACCAGGACATGTGGCAACCTTCCTCCTTGAACCTTTCTGAGATCCCCTCAAGTCTGAGGCGAACTCCCCCCCCCCCCTCACCCCTTGTGCACCCCCCTGCAGCCCCCTCCGTGCGTCTGTTTGCTTCTTAGGGGTCAGGGACAGCAAGCACAACCTTTTTATAAGAAGATGGGTGAGGGGGGGCAATCTGATGGAGCAGGCGGTAGTGGTGGGGGAGCGGTTCACATTCCTGTCCCACAATGCACTGCGGAGGGGGGCGTCTAACCGATACCCCTGTGAGTGGGGGGCGTGATAGGGGGCAGAGGGCAGGGAGAAAAAAGGGGGTATTCGAACCCCCGTGTCAGATTCAGTTTGTTTTCTGACCTGCCCCCTCAGCTACGGTGTCTCTCAAGTGAGTTGCACTCTTGTTTTGATGAATGTTTACGGAGTGACCGGCGGTGTGGCTCAGTGGTCGGTCGAGCGAGCGGCTCCCACAGCGGACGTTTGCGAGTTCGACTCCCGGTTGGTTGGGGTTGACTCGGCCCATCATGCCATCCTTTGTCGATAAAATAAGTACCACTCTGTGGGGAATCCATCAGTGGTTATGCTTGTTAGGAGACTCGCCCCACCGCTATAAGAATGTGGAGTTCCCACCACTGGCTCTGCAGGGCTGTAAACAGAAAATGAGCACCATTGCCTTAATGGTCATTTGAGCAGGAAATGACTTTCGAATTTAAATCACTTTTACGATATCAGTAAAACGTATTCGTCAGCAGAGCAATGGTACAAACTTTTTTCAAAAAAGATCATTTGTAACAATCAACCGATAAGAGCGCCTACGCAATCGTCATCTCGTGCGATAGCCCTCGTGAAACTCGGTGCTTGTAAACGAGTGTTTTTGCCATGGGGCATTTCATCATCGCCATCGTCGCCACCGTCAATCGTCGTCGCCACCATCGACCTCTGCTTTCATGACGTACGCGGCTCCGCAAGCCTGGCCACAACGCCCAACCGCAGAAGGGAACATTTCCCCCCCCCCTCCCCCCCCCCCCGTATACAATTACTCGCGTAAAAATGTCATCTCGGAAATGAATTAAAGTTATCTTCATCCGATCTCACAAAACAAAAAGAGAAAGAAAAAACCTCCGCCGCACGGCCCTTATGCAAGGACACGTGGCTTTCTCAGAGGGCCCTCACCGACTCTTGACAAATGAGCTGCACCCACGTCTGGCATCGCGGGAGAATATTTCAATGCCCCCACCCCGTCCCACTCCCTCTTCCCTCCCTCCCTCCCTCAATCCCTCACTCCCTCTTACCTCCTGTCCATCAACTCCCAGACGACTCCCAGACACACACACACACACAGACAGTCCGGGCTGCCTTTATCCCTGCTAAGTTGTTGGCGAGATCGCTTGCAATTGTTTTCGTTTCCTGCAACTTCCCACTGCTGGGCAAAGGTCGCCGTGCCCCCCCCCTGCCACCACCCCCCCCCCCCCCATTTTTTTACATCCCTTCCCTTCGTTGCTCTGGTCCGGTGGTGACCTCTGAACTCTGTGATTTCGTCTCACTGCGAACAGCATGTGTGCGAGCTGCTACAAGACTGCTGTACATGCAAAGACAAATACAACGATCCCCCATATAGCCTGAACAGACTCATGGAGAAAGTGCTGTTAGCGAGCACCTATGAAGGCCGGCATGTCACACGAGGGGGTGGGTGGCCAGCACCACGTCTCCCTTCTGGTGATGTCTACACATTGCACCAGGTACTCATGTGACGCTGACTTGACCTAGGAGAGGCCTAGTACAAGTTCAAATATTCGCCAGTTATTGGTCGTGAGCGGGAATCGAACTCGGTTTTCCGGATATCGTAGCGCAGCGCGACAAACGCTACACCACCGCTCCCCACACATGCACGCACATGCGCGCACTCGTACACACGCAGACATACACATGGACAAGAAAGCAGAAACACAAACACAAACGCGCACACACATAAGGACACAAACTCGCAAATACGTGTGCACGTTGAGACACACACAGGAAGCACGTACGTACACATAAACCACACACGCACATACACGCGCGCACAGATGCACGCACGCACACACATCCTCTTCCCTCCTCCTGTCTCCCGCAGTAATTACAGGTGCTGACATTTCCCTGCTGTGCTCAACGCAAGAGGGAGGGTTCACGGAGGAGCTGAGAGGGGAGACGAGACGCTGAGTGAGACGCGGAGACAGCGAGAGAGTCTGAGAGGGACACAGGGAGAGACGGAGAGCGAGAGACGCAGAGAGATAGAGAGACGCAGTGACTGGGACACAGAAGGATACGCAGAGAGAGAGAAAAAGAGAGAAAATGATAGAGAGAGGCAGAGATAAAGAGTGACCCACACACAGAGATAGAGGCACAGAGAGAGAGAGAGAAAAGAGAGAGATCATTTGGAAAAGATTATATTTTCCTCATGTCATTCCAATTCTGCTGGCCAATGGAAGATAGGTATTTGTGTTTGTGTGTGAATATGAATGCGTGTTTACGCGTGTGTTCGCTTGCGAAATGTGGACCCCTTTAAAGGAACATCTGCACAAGTCTGAAAGATACAGGCTGGGTTGCACTACAATTCATCCTGGGTTTAACCAGACTGGATTGTGTGAGGATTTCACAAATCCTTGAAAAATCTGGACAAGGTCCCATCATTGAGCTACTCCGGCAGGCAAGGCTGACGTTGGCTGGGTAACCCGCATGCCTAGCCACCTTCTCCAAATGACATTACGATTGTTGAAATTTGACGTTTTGATGTTCGGAATATATTTCGAATTTGGAATGCTCACAGCAAGCAGTGTTCACGAGCGTCCCTGGAAGGCTTCAATTTGCGAATCGTTGTCCAAAATTGGTAACGCTGTGATTTGCTATCCCCAACACAACTGATGGGCTGGAGCGATAATAAGCTGGCACGTTTGTTCACGCGACAACTTTATTAATTGCCCGTGTCGGGTGGTGGAGGGTGTACGACACACATTCTACCGATGCGATCCGACTCAAGAAAAAAAATCAATTACGAATTGACGACTAAATTTAATCACAGCTGGCTTAAACCAAACCCAGGTTCGAACCCAGGCCCTCAGCGGTGCTGGGCTCGGTGATTCTGGCATGGCCATTGTAAACCCCCCTGGACCACCCTGTGCCACCTTCCTGTGAAGGTGACTGCGCGCCACGTGAACCTGCCCGGGCGGTCACAGAGAGAGATCCACCGCCACCTGCTGGCAACTGACGGGAGTTACTGGGCACCAAGTGGCTCTTGGATACGCGACACGTGTATATTGTTGACATTCTACTATTCATTATTATTTTAGCACTGAGCTATGTGTAGCTATTTTTCAGAAGTGACTTGGCCACAGGTGATAGCCCAATAAAGTGGCTTTTCACGTGTAAATGTATCGCAGCCAAATAAACGCATTTCGATTCTAGATGTGGATGGAAAAACCGGAGGATCCAGAGAAAAATCCACGCGACCAAAAGCACAGCAGGTGTCAGGGTCGGGATCGAACCCTCGACCTCCTGCACACCAGGTGAGCGAGATGACGCCTCGCCATCACATCAGCCATTGTCTATCCGCTGCTAGATGGACACCTCCGGCCTCGCGGTCGCCATCGGCCACGGGTCCGCCGATGGTGCGATCCATCTGACCCCAAGCACCACCAATCGATCTCACACCTCCAGGCTGTCCCGCCTGGAGGCGACGGTCGAAGGATGACGATTCTCGATACCCGCGGCGCGTGTTTACGAGATTCTCCCTCCCTGACGGAGCGTTAGCGGCAAGTCTGGAGATTATGAAATGAGGGAAGGGGAGCGAGAGGGGGGGGGGGGTGTACATTCTGGGGCTGTCTCTCTGGACCCGTCCAGGAAATACTTGGAGCCCTCTGCCTGCCTCACATTCCAGATTTGGGGAGAATTTTGGATGTAGTTTTTTTTGGAGGGGGGGGGGCTGGATGGGCTTGCGGGGGTGGTGGTGGGGGTAAGGAATTATTGGGGTGGTGCGGAGAGGATAGGAGTGGGGGGGGGGGTTACATATTTCGATGATGACAATAATCGTAAAAGGGAACGGATTCGAGTCTAGAATAGGCATGCGCCGATTCGCACACCCCCCCCTCCCCCTCTGCGCCAATTTCGTGAATTTTCAGTTCACGGTCAGAATATGGTGAAGCCATTTACATTCCCTTCTCCCTGTCACGTTCGTCAGGCTGATGCTCTTTGTTGTGCCGTCCGTCTCGTTTGTTGCGTCTAATCAGTCCCGTCTGTCTGCTTGTTCGGCCTGTACGAATTTGCACCATCCCACTCATACTATCTCATTCATAATGTCCGTCCCACGTGTACTTTCTCATGAGGAACCAGCCGTCCTGCCTCCGCTGTCTCTTTTGTTTTTCTCCGTCTTGTTTTGTACTCTCCGATTCGTTATGTCTCGCCTGTGCTGCCTCATCCGTGCTGTGTCTTAGTTCGTACTGCTGAGTGTGTGCCGTCTGTTCCGCACTCT